CCCTCAGGCAGCATCACTGACCTCCATCAACCTCCCAACCACCCACCCACAGGCATCTCACTATCTCTGGCATCCTGTAGTTACACCCATTGACTATTTTGTTGTCATGTCCTGGCATCTGACTTTCTCTCTGAGACGTGATTGCATCTCACAAATTTCCTCCTCTTTTTCTCCGCTTACCCATCTTTTTCCTTCTTACCTTTCTCCAAAACTCATTTTTCTTTCTCCCCCGACATCTGCGTCTACATCTCCCTATTCACCTTCATCCTCTCAGATCTCTTGGTCTGCTGCCCAGTTTCATGTCCCTACAATTTTACTTCCCTTCCCCATGTCCCAACTCTACATCTGGGAGCAGGAAGGCTCCTGAAGCAGAGCAGATGAAATGTTAAAATGGGGGCATTGCCATGATCTATGGTGGAGCAATGGCATTCCTACCTTCTGCTTTCAGGAGTTCTGCTTCAGAAATCCCTATATCAGCCCAGGCTGTGGCATGACTCATGATGCTTCTAATAGTTTGATACCTACAAGATTAAAAAGAGAAAACCCTTGAATCAACATTTCAGACACAGAAAACAGTCCGTCTCTGCAGCTCTTTGTGACAGATTCCCCACTCGTGCAGTGTAAAGAAGCCCAAGCTACTTAGACTTGGAAAGCAGGATGGTCACAGTCTACCTGGGGCTCAGCAAAGCTATACTGTATTGATACTTTTCAGCTGGATAAAGTGGCCCCTACAGAACTCCATGTTTCCATGGCTAGACAATTTCCAGTATTGAAGCTGGCTTGTTTACAGTTAGGTTGGTATCTTTACACTGCACAGGAGCCTGCAGCATAGACGTACCCAAAGGCTGAGTTAGAGAAGCACATTTACCCCTACTGTGGAAGAAAGTGCCCTCAGCTCCCCTGTGTCCCTAAGAGGGAGTTATTTCTACAGCTCTGGGGTCTCCAGGAAGAACATCTCCTGTTCTCAGATGTTCAAGGGAGAGCCTGATGTCACCCTCTGTACCTGTACACCGACAGTGCGATGAAATCATGCTCTAATGGGGAGGCAGCAAGGTTGGAAGCCAAAACCAAAAAATCCTCAGGAGAAAGATTATGAAACATTGACAGGTTTTTAAAGATAGTCTCCCTCCTCCATGAACTTCTCACTTGCAGGTCCAGATGCATGTACAGCAGGGACTGCCGGGGGGAGGGTGTCACAAGTTCCAGATCAGTGCTTTTACTTTAGCTTTTTAAGCTGTAGTGGAGATGGACCTGATCTTAAACTGCTCATGGCACTTTCAGCTCAATATCTGGATAGTAAATTACAATTAGGCTTTGGTGTTCAGGACTTCAGCCCCACGGCTATAGGCATCAGGGAGGATTCCACCCCCCCCAGCATGGTTACCTGCGATAGCAGGGGAGTGGATTTGGTGAAGCAGGTAGTTCCTCCTGGCCCTTCGGTTCTCCCCCCGCCACCCCCAAAGCTTCCTCAGCAGCCCCAGATACTAGCCAAGGCTGGAGGAGAAATACTGTGGGAAGTGGGCCCGTGTTCTCATGTGGTACAAAGAAAACCCTGAAAAGGCCCTGTCTGACTGTTCAGGGCCATATCACTCACCAAATTTGGCTCCTTTCACATCCATCTGCAACATGATTAGTCTGCTGGAATCTCCTGAGCTTCTCTTATCTCAATCTATGGCCTGCCATTACAATAGGCCTTTGGCAGTAGTGTCACCTTGTCTCTCCTCTTCTCTGCTTGTGATGTGTGTTCCAGTTTTTGCAGTGTACGTGGGCTAACAACTAGCAACATCTTTGAATTTGTGATATACAGATTATATCTAATGCCCCTTTCTGGGCCTTGATTTCTACAAAAAATATGTAAATCTTGCTTCTAACACCCAGAAACTGCATTCATCTCTGTGGTTCTGGATTTTTTTTATCAATCTACATAAGTCACGTACTGTGGTTTAACAGTGAGCATATCAGCCAGAGCAGTAAACACGGGCCTACTGTGAATCCACAAATGACATCTGGTAATGCTGTCGTCCTGTTCCACTTTCTTCTAGAGGTAAAGAGTTACGAGCTGCCTTTTGGGTCAAAAGTCCAGGAGCAACCCTGCGTGGATACCATGAGAGACATTGTGCTGCATGGCAGAGGACGCCCAGAAATACCTAGTAACTGGCTTGTGCATCAGGTAAATAATAATAATAATAAAAAAAATACATAAGGTTATCATAACCTACAGTAGTTATTCATACACCTGATTTGCAATGGACATGGCTACCCTTGAATGATGTTGGCAATGCATTGGTGGTCCCAGTTATTCAAGTCAGAGAGAGACGGGTTACTGCACTTCTAAACTGTTAGGACCCAAATGTCCCAATTGCCTTTTTTGGGTTCTGCTCCCAAATCTGGGGTAAATTAGCTGATCTAGGATAAAGCACTCAAACCTCACTGGGCCCACAGTTTTCTCCATAGGTAATATCTGCAGTCAGTGAGCGTACCAAATAGATAACGTTATTGTAAGCTAGGACAGTAATCTATTACACTGGGGTTAGGCAGTAATACAGAGCTCTTAGACATAAGGTACTTTTATCGAAGAGGAAGTCATGAGAGTTTAAGACTAGTTTTTATGCTGTAACACTTAGGGACCATGACTCTTCCAATTCCAAGAGGACTTGTATAAGGGCACACATGTTCTATAGGCACTTCACATGCCCAGCAAAACAGGATGGGGCAGGGAAGTGAGCTGCATTAGGTTTTGCACAAACAATAATCTTTGCAATCACTAGCTGATGTTCCAAGGATAAGACCGTAATCTCCAAGCCATGATGCTACAGGTTCCTTACATAGCAAAAAGGACTGCTGCATTACAAGTGCAAGGAGAGATGAAGAGGGAAGTAGTTCTTTAAAGTAAAATCTTGTACAGAAAAATGTACAGTAAGCAGAGAGAGGAAAATGAGGTAGAATTCTGGGAGGCCTTTGATAAACTATATGCTATGCTTACACCTAGAGGATGCTAGAAAATTAATACTTTTTGAAGAAAGTGCAACCTGGAATTGTTGAGCTGAAGACCTCAGCTGTAACAAATTATGCTGTTAAAACAAAGCAAGATATGCACCAAAACTAGTCAGTCCCAGAAGCACATTTTTCCCCAAAAGCCACACAGTATGTTTGAAGCACTAAGCTCCCATCACACAGGCCCAAGTCCCCATGCACATGCTCTGGGAATGAAGGCAGCTATAAAGATCCTGGGTGGGTTTTTCAAAATTGCTGATTGTTGTGTGTTCAACAACCCTCAAAACAAGCCAGCCCCCTGAACCTCATGGAGGGGCGTTGGAATTGGATGCAAAATAAACACTTACTTGGGACTATCCAAAACCAGACTCTGAAGGCTCAGCTCTGAGCCTAGACTATTTTTTCCAAGGTTTTGAATCATGGTCATCCTTCTGACATTGTAGAGCTAAGATTCCCAAAATGCAAAGTAGGACAGCACCACCTGCTGGGAGAAAACCAGAACATCTTTTTATCATTTGACAGCTCCCTCCTTCCCATCACCCCACACCTTCTTCCTCAGAGGTTTAATTTGCTGCTGAAGAACTGACACAAGTTGTTCATCTTAGGCAGAATGACATACCTGCCTGCTCACAGGCAAATACTGGCAGAGGGCCTGGAGGTCAATTTGTTATTTGAAACAGGGGTGGCCAGCCAGTGGCACAGGTACCACAGGCAGCCTCCACGTGGCAGAGCACAGGGGTGTAGGTTGTAGCCGTGTTGATCTAAGGACACAGGCAGACAAGGCTCTTTGGGTAAGTCTGACCACTGGGGAGACAGACAGCACAGCAGGAGGGAGGGGAGGAAGTGGGACGCAAAGCAGATCAGGTAGGGAGCACAAAGCACGGAGGAGAAAGCGATGCAGATCAGGCAAAGGAAGGGGATCAGAGTGGTACTAGAGGAGGCTGTGGGGCTAATTTGTGGCATGCCTGCCAAAAAGGTTGTCCTCCGCCAATTCAAAATATCAGATTTGTCCTACTCTTTCCTCCAGGTTTCTTAGTCAACTGAACCCCATGGAGAGACTTCTGAAAAATAAGAGGACAGGCGAGGCCGACATGAGAGCACTAGAAACTCTCTTATCATTTGTGTCCATGAGATTGTGTACATCATTTTAATTGCAAGTGAACAGAATACACAAAGCCTCTGAGAATGCGTGAGGCTTTATTCAAAACAAGTTCTTTCTTCTTCCAACAGTACTTGTTGCTAAACCTTGCCATAATGATGCAAGACACCAGCTAGAATAGCACTGGTGTGGTGAAAGGAAGGTGGAACAGCTGGTAGTGTCCACAGCTGTTCCACTCCCCAGCCAGAATAGCACTGGTGGGTGAAAGGAAGGTGGAACAGCCTCTGTGCAGTTATTAGTTTGAACAAAATTAGCAGCTGAAAGCCACCATTTTCTTTCTGCAGATAAAAATTTTAGTTTCATTTCACAGCACTATAGGAGATGCATCGCGCGCGCGCGTGTGTATTTATATATTTTTTTCTTTCTGCAGGTGGAAATTTTAGTTTCATTTCAAAGCACTACAGGAGATATATATAAGCTATATAGATATATAGATACAGGAAACCCTTGCTATTTGCAGGTTCGGCATTCGCGGTTGCAAATATTCATGAATGCCAAACCGGCATTTTAAATACACTTTATACACTTACAGGAGCTCCTTGGGAGCTCTGTGCTTGCTGCCACCGGGCTCCTGCCCCAGCCGCTGGGGGCACTGCATTCATGAACGCACTGCCTTATTTGCAAATTTCACCATTCACAAGGGATACAAGAATATATGCCTCCTGAATGGCAAGGGTCTCCTATATATAGATCTCTCTCTCTCCTGTAGTGCTTTGAAATGAGACTAAAATTTCCACCTGCAGAAAGAAAAATAATATAAATAAATAAATAAAGGCTTACTGAGTTTGGCCATTGTACTCAAGAGACTTGGATGTATTCTAGAGCACACCGAGAAGCACAAAATCCTCATTACTAACTGATGTTACTTCAGGGCAAGAAAAAAACCCACAAATTTCCCTCGTGTATCAACTCTGGGATAATTTATTGACTGAGGAATCAGGGCCCAACACACAGGTTTACAAATGGAGAGTGCTTACAGAAGATGAAGTTATCTGGCAAAGCTGGCAAAGGGGCCCTGGAGTGGGTGGCGGGCTGGGAGTTGGGTGTCTTGGGCTCTGCTCAGCTCTTTGTGGCCTCGGGCAAGGAACTCCAGGCCTCTGCTTCCCCTTCTCACTTTTGTTTGCCTTGTCCACTCTGCTTGGGGCATCCCAAAGGGAGAGTAGGTTGGAGTGCCTAAATCACCTAAGCTCCTTTGAAAATCCCACCCTTGGGGTCAAACTTTTGCATCAAGGACAGTTTTGCTGTGCTAGATATGGGCAGCCTGATGATAGCTAAGGCTCCCATAGCTACTGCACTATCAATCATTAGATGATCAGTTTATACCATCAGTCATCACACGAAGGGGAAAAAAGTTCAAGAGCCCAGCAGTCCCTTGGGCTAGCTTGGTTAAGGTACACCTGTACCCATAGCCAACACCACATTAGGAAGTGATGTGCCTGGTCATCTCTGACCGACTCCTCTTGCTGGGTTGAATAGGTGCAGTCCCATCAAGCATTTTGGATGCTTATGGCAAGAATTCAACTCCTACCTCTGGAGCCATGACCAAGACATCTTAAGTACACCATCACGGAGCCCAAGTTCTCATACTGTGAGATACCTTGGATACCCCCATTTCCTCCATACTTAATGTTGGAAACGTGCTTGAGGCAATTCATCACAGAAATATCACATTCCTCCAACGTCCTTGTTCACATTTCCGATACCTCTGCTTCTTGCTTCCTCTGCCCTTGCAAACCTAACTTCAGATCCTCTCACTTCAGGGAATGCACTTTCTGTGCGACACCATCACAGAGTGCTGGGATCACGACCCCGAGGCTCGGCTCACCGCCCACTGTGTAGCTGAGCGGTTCAACTTGATGGCGCAGATGGACTGCGATGACATCCTCAACAACAACATGGACAACGAGGCTGGCAAAACAGTTTGCCCCAGCAGCGAACGCCAAGCCAGTGATGAGAACAGAAACAGCCAGTGACAGAGAGAGGCCTTCTACCAAAATGAACAGGAGGATAAAAGGCAATCATGTGGCTCTTTCATAAAAGGCTGGAGTTCATTTTCTTAAAATGAACTTAAGAGCTGAGATGTAACTTATTTATGAGACCATTCACTGCAGGGGCACAACGCAAAGTGCTGTGGGCTCTATACTTTGGCTGAAGTGCAACCTTGTATATGAATATATTTTGTACTTGAGTGTATAATAATGTAAGATGTTTTCTTTACTATTTTTAAAAATGTTTCACCCTTTATTAATAAGTACCTGAATCCCACGACTTCCTTTGGGCTCTTGGCTTTGAGCTTTTAACTCTTTCCATGCTTCTTTTGGAGCCACAGAGACTTCCCCCTGGTTTTCCAGTCACTGGTGGCCACAGATTTGCATCAGTTCTCACAAGGCAGCTCTCTCCAGCCTCAGGATCTCTCAGGGACTATGCAAGATGCAAAGCAGAAGCTCATTCACACTGGCCCCAGCTTTGATGATACCAACCCCAGACGAGTCAGCCCTCAGGTACTGTAATAAGGCACTGGAGAAGTCATTTGGCAACATCATGATCTGTCTTTGCTTCCCAACACGTAGTGCTTAGGAATGCGTGACCATTCTGGCTGCATAACAAATGCAAAACTGCTCAGATAAAATGACAAAAGGGACCAGTGCAGGGAGTGTAGCTCACTGAGTACCACTTGTGCAGAACACCATGCTAAGCCTCTGTCCCAAGTCACAGTCCAACTCCCAGCTGTCTTCCAAGTCTGGGGATACCAGAGGTTTGCCCCTGGGAGATATTTAATGGGTGGGACAGAGCACTGGGAGCTGCTTAATAAAGGGAGGACATTGCAGATATTTATGCACAGTAGATACAACATTGATGGCCACCCTTAAGCATCCCTGTTGCAGGCTGCATTAAAGTGTCTCACAGGCTGCACTTTAGGAACCCTTGGTGCATGACCGTACCTGCAGTTTAGGAGTACTGTGGGCAGGGCAGTGGTCCAGCTCATCTTGGGGACCTTGTCCACACCCATCTTTAGTGATTCTTAGGCTCAAGTGGCAAAGACCAGTTGCGGGCTGGGCTGGTATTTCCAACTATAGCAGTACTTTGTCAGGCTCCTTGCTATTGGAAAGCTTCTTGCTGTTTTCTCTGGCCATCCATAGCCAGTCATTCCCACTTTGGGACACCTTACTGTCACAGCAGTGAGAGTGCTGTGGTTTTGCTGCAAAAGGGAGCCTGTGTACTTAACATATGGAACTCATGGTCACAGGACAGTGTAAAGGACCAACAGTAAACCAGGCCCTAAAGAGGGATTAGACTGATTCATGGAGGATTGGTTTATCATGAGCCACTAAACACAATAGTTAAGGACATACCTGACATAGGAGGGATGCCCTATTACTAACACTCTTCCTCTAAAACATCCACTACTTGCCACAATGAAAGACTAGGCTAGATGGATCTTTGGTCTGACCCAGAAGGTTCTTAGGACACGGTCATCTGCCCAGGGGTTTTAGAAGAGGTAGTTGTGCAAGGGCCACATTGCAAATGTATAGATCCACTGCACGGGTATGGGGAAGGGCAGGAAAACAGGTGCAAGTCCACAGGCTCCAAGGTAGAGGCTGGGAAAGATTCTGCACAGAGCCTTGCTGCTCCGGATTTCCACAGTGACACAAGAGTCCCAGCTCTTCTCTTGAAAGCTGAGGACAAGCGGTTTCTACACACTGCACAAAATGAGGGAGCAGAAAAAGGACAGAATAAAGTTCTCTCTCTCCTCTCTGATCTTACAAGGCACAGGAGAGAGTGTGCATGTGTCATTAATCTTAGGGAAAGTCTTTACCAAAAAAAGGGTTTGCTAGATACACTGGCAGGCTCCTATGTCCTCTCACCATCTGTAGCCCCATACTATTCTCAGCTGCCTCATCAGATGACCTAGGGCAGCAGTCTGCCTCTTGCAACTTGTGATTTTGAGCCATTCTTCAAGCTTCTCCCTGCGCTTGGGCCACCGTCTTGTATCATGCATTCCCTTCAACCTAACACCCCCATTTTGCACTCGCATGTAATGCATTTCCTCTCCTACCTCTGTCTGCACAGGAAGAGAACAAAATGGCCTTAATACAAGGCTTACGCAGGAAGGAAGATGTGAAACTGCAACAGCAACATGAAGGGGCTCTTGGTAGTTAATATGTGGTCTTGTATCTCCTTGTGAGCTGCCTTTGTGAAACAATAGTGGGGTAATTCCTACATCTCACTGTGCAGCACTGAGTTTACAATTAATAGTCTGCTGAATCAAGCCCTGAGTGTACAATTAATATTCTGCTGAATCAAGGCGTGGACCGTACAGATCCAATAAAAGCTTAAGCAGTTTCTGAGAGCATCCTGGCATCTTACAAGCTTAAGCTGTACATTTCTACAAGCAGCATGTTCAGACCATATGTAAAGCTTGCCTCTCAAATCCAAGGGTGAAAGACCTAATTCTCGAGCTAAGGAAGCAGGCTCAGTCTGCAGGGCCCAGATATGTGGCTCATGAGGATGATGCCAAGAAGCATTTTTTTCACAGCTGAAAGCTAGAGCGCTGTGATGAGTGTGACATGAAAACATAGAAAGGGAGTTAAGAATGAGATAGTTTCCAAGATGAGCTGCTTTGACATTAGGAATCCAGGCAGGACTCCGAGCTGAACACTGAGCGCTTGCGCTGACCTTGAACCTGGAGCCCTGTGGCTGGTTGGCAGCTCTGAAAACAAAGCTGTATATTTAAGCTCCTGAATCCCTATCAGGGCACTGAGAAATTTCAGCTCTTCTAAAACTTTTACTTGCATGTGTTGTTTGCTTTAAAGACACCAGGTTTAAGACGAGTTTAAGATCAGTGCGTTTCAGCACCACTCCTGTGCCTCAATACCCGAATCATAGTATCATAGAAGTAGGGTCAGAAGGGACCTTGTAGATCTTCAAGTCCGACCCCCCGCCTGGGCAGGAGAAAAGACTGGACTCAAATGAGTCCAGCTAGGTAGTCATCAAGCCTCTTCTTAAAGATCCCCAGGGTAGGAGCCAGCACCACTTCCCTAGGAAGTTGGTTCCAGCTCCTAGCCGCCCTAACCGAGACTATTTTAAACCCTGTTGCATAGACTAGTGGTGGCCAACCTGCGGGCATGAGGGCCACAAGTGGCATAAGCAGCCTGTGTGTGAGGCACATGGGAGATGGGGCAGGGAGCAGAAAGTGGAGCAGCAGCTGGGACAAGGGAAGGGGATCAGAATGGCACTTGGGGAGGGCATGGGTCTTAAGATGTGGCAAAACTGTCAAAGACAAACTATATATTTCTGTGCTTTGTGTTTCTGTAGGAGAAATCTCATTGCCCAATTATCCAATACATCTGCACTACCAATCAGTCAGTTCATCATAGATGACTGTGTGTTTGATATTTCCACCGTCTAAAATTCCAAGAGAGTCATTTTCTATTGATGTTCTCAGTTTCTAGCAGCAGTTTAAAAACAAACTTACATATTTTAATAATACTGAAATATCTGCTTTTATTGCAAAAATGATTGCTCCCATTTTTTCATGAAATATGTTTAACACACACAGGGAAAACAGCATTGACATGAAAATAAATAAAACATCAGAAACCTGATCTTCCCCGTTGATTAAAATGGTGCCAACTTTATTCCAATACAGTAAGAAAGAGTAAAGGCCAAAATATAGCATTTGGCTGTGTGCCCAAAGCACTAAAGTAACAAACTTCAGAACTATGGATCAAGTTATGAATGAACACAGTCCCATCCATGTCTCCACCCCACCCATGCTTTTGACACAGAGGTTGTCTGGTCTTAAGCAACACAAGTCTAAAATGATATCCTTCCAAGTGACTGGGAATCTTCAGCCGCATACATTTCAAACAATTGCAATGCGGTATTCAATTGGAAGAATTCTGCCCTTTTTTGACCATTTTCCATTACCTTCTTTACTCATCCAACCAGCCGGTGAAGACTAACTTTAAGTCTTCATCAGCTTTGGTGGCCATCAGATTTCTACACGGTCTTTTCATCACCACCATCATGGTCAAGAAGTCTTTTCTTTCCTATTTAAGGAGAGTGCTCCATAAGTGATCATAGCATTTCATTTGGTTTGCTATCAATATTAGTGGCAGCTTTATGGAGAATACCAGGTGGAGGAAAGCAAACTAATACAGCCCTGAAAATAAAAAAGATTAAGGTACGAAAATGTCTCCGTGCACTTACCTTCTTTATGAAGAGCTGTCCAGCTATGGCTCTAAATCCAAAACTTTAGAGAGAAGGCTGTCACTTAACTTGTACTTGCTTATCAGCCAAGGGCACTTTTGAAAGAGTTACTGAGCCATCTGCTGTGATGACAGGGTGCCAGGAGCTGTTGCTGTTGGATTGTGAGCAAGACCACCGGTTGTCTCAGCTGGCAAAGATACACTTTACAATAAGCAGCAGTGAAAGATGCAACAAATTCAGAGCAAGATTTTACTGATTTCCCATTCTTCGAAGTAGGGCAGGGCCCAATGGACCCTGCGCCAAACACCGGGTGCCCCAGCTTATATGACTGATTCCCAGGGAGATTACTGCCACAAAGGCTGAGACCCAGAGAATACAAGGAATACAGCATATGTCAGAAGGTGCTGCAGGACCAGGCAGGCCTTCTCCTCCTTCACAGCAGACACCATGTGCCATTGCTGCAGTTTGGTAGATGTGCAAGCTGCCATCCCTCAGACTTCCAAGCAGACATTTGCTGCTGTTCACATGGCACATGCAGGGACTGAGGGGACAGCTACTCCCATCTGTAGAGCAACAGCAGTCACCATGGCCAGGTCACACCTGCAAAAAGCAGCTCTAGCCCACTAGCCCCACCTCAGTGGAGAGCTCTACTACAGCTGCAAAAGTGGAGGTCCTCACCAGTACCGCCAATGGGGAGACAAGAGGGTGACCCCACCCAGAGACCCAATGCATCATAAGTGATATTTAGAGGTGTCCCCAAAAAGAGCCCTCTATTGAGGTCTGTGGGTTAGGGGACAGCCGACTAGCCTTCAGGTCATCATCTTTCTCACCCCCAACTCGGTGGGCTGGGGTGAGGTCTAGAGCAGTGGTTCTCAACATTTTTTTGTACCAGGGCCCATTTGTAAACCTCAATGGCCAGTCTCAACCCAATGCCCCCCCATCCCCAGGCCCCAGACACCCAGTGTGGGGCAGGGGAGTGTGCGTACAACATGGGGGGGGGGGGGCAAGCAGCCCCTTGCAGGCTGGAACTCTGCAAGCTTCCAAGGGGAAAGCCT